CCATGAAAGCTTTGGTGATAATGCAGGATCGCAAATTGATAAATCAATGGCTGATGAGGAACCCATGTGAATATTCTTTCGGGTTGGTTGACCGTCGTTTAGCTGGTTTAAGTTTTCCAAGATATTTCCTTTAGAGTTTGTTCCTAGAGATCCCCACATTGGATTATGGCTATTAAAATCACCTATAATTATTCTCGGAGTTGGAATTTAATCCAATAAATCTAAATCCATTTTTATTATTGTTATATATTTTTATTCTTGTGAAGACTCTACAGAGCTATCAGAGTCATCTAGAATCAGTTTTATGGCAGCAGTTATATTGGTGTCACATTCAGTGGTTTGAACACTGTTAAGCAGGCCCAAACTCACAAAGGGTTGTAGCGCTAGGAAACGAAGAAGAAGGTATTTTCTTATTAGCTTATTGGTGTTTTTCATTTAAAATGTTTTTTTTTTAATTGGATAAAGTACTATAAAATTCTAAGAAGTAAGTTTGAAATAATATGTAATTAAAAAACAATAGTTTGGTTATATATTTAAACAAGACTTAAAAACGATAAACACGATGAATGTCAAACATGACATCGTGACCTCGCCTCGCAACGAATGTGTGATATATTGGAATGAATTTAAAATTCTAGCTTAACAAGTAGATGATACCAGATTGGTTTTAAATATTGACCATCTATATTAAATTTTCAAATATCTTAGGCACGCCACTTGCACGTTATTTATAAATAAATTACAAGGAAAATGTTTTTTTTAACTAAGTAGACAAATTGTAGCACTGAGAAACCGCTAAAACAGTTTATACTACTTTAAATTTTTAAGTTCTTCAAACATTACACTGAACTGTATATAGAAAAAAAGCTAAAGTATTGCGTGTCTAAAACTTTTACCTACTCGTTTATTGGAACAAAATAGCGAAAGTGCACACAAAGTCGTAGATAGTGAAGGTTAAAGGGATAATAACTGTAAAACACGTAATATACAATAAGTATTTAGGGAAATTTAATTACACAAATTAACACTGTCTAACAATTTTTTACTTTTGATTTTCTTTTTTGTAAACAATTGTCTTAATTTAAGTCAAATACAATTTAACTAAAAAGGTTAGCAGAAAACTGTTAGTATTAAAAGACAACCATTCTTAAAAAAGGAACAATAAAGAGTTTTATCTGTAAAGACATAATCTAATGTAATAAAAAATAATATAATAAATACAAATATAAAGAAATATCAAGAAAACAGGACATAAAAAAAGAATGAAAACTCTAAGAAAACTAAAGGGAAATCGCAGAAAAGAAGTAGATTTCAACTCAAATACAAAAGGAAATAATGAAATTAAACACATAGAGAAAGAGAGAGGAAATAATATGAATTGTATACTTTGTTTCAAGTTAAGAAAATAACATTGCGCTTATGGAGATCAGTGTTGCCAAAACTCTCAGGCACGTGTTGCTATTAGATTGTCGATATATGATTCATTCTAATCAGAGCCGTATTCAGCACTGTGTAGTTGTAGTTAATTAATTTCACTAATAAAAGGATATGTATAGTTGAATACAAAATAATGCATTATAAATACTTGTTTCTTTAATTGACAGATATAGGTATGTAATTATTATAGGTCTAATTTTATTATTGTTTAACATTACCTATTTATTAACGCTTTAGATAAGATGTAACTAAAAAAACAAGTGCAGTTTTAATTTTATTTTCATGTAAGTAATAACAACAATTACATACATAAAAATGTTTTCCATACAAATTTTCTTAAATCTCCAAAAAAAAAAATGTGTTAAAAGTCCTTGTCTCACTAATTAATAATTCCTTTGAAAAATATATATTTCCAGAGTATGGATGTGTAGTTCACCATCGAAATAGTTCAAATGAACGATTCTTTCAACTGAACTAATTGAACTAGTTCATTAATTTTCATAGAACTAGTTCACTGCGAACGATTTGCATTATAAATTGTGTCTCAACTTCTAAAGAAGAAAATAATGAATGAATGAATGAGAACATATATTTATTATTTTGTGAATGGATGGACTAACTAGTTTAAAAAAATGCCGATTAGCCTCAGATAACAGATTCATAATTCTTATGAATGTGACAATAACATAAAGTCTTATCTTAATGTCATAATGGTTCGGATCTTATGCCCATGTATTGGCTTGGATGTTGCCATGCTGTGTTGTTTCTTGTATTGTAATTTTGAAATAAAAATTTTAGTTGTGGTTAAAATGATTGAGGCATTTACATAAAATATAATTTTATGTAAAAGTGAGAATGAAAATGTGTTATTTAATGTTCCTAGAAAATTCACTGATTTTTTTTGTAAAGGTTCTTTTAGAAATAACCTAATTATAAATACCTATGAGTTTAAATATACGTAAATATAAAAATAAATCATACGTGAACCATATTTATATTTAAAACGGTTAATAAAAAACAAATCTTAATAATTTTTTGCAAATAAAAACTAACTAATCATATAATAATTTAAACCATTTAAACCTAAACATACGATCGAAAGAAATAGTTCCGAACTACTTGTACGGTAGTGAACTAGTGAAAGACTGACTGAAAACCGAAGAAAACGGGCGGCCGGCGCCGAGCTTGTGTGATGATTGAGACGAGACATCTGGCAACCAGTTCTGTTAGGGTTGGATTTCGATTTCGGTCCTACAAATAGTTCTTTCGCGAACTAGTTCACTGAACTAGTTCTTTGTGAAATAGTTCTCTTGAACTAGTTCGTCTAAAAGAACTAATAAGCACACCTCTATTCCAGAGTGCCTAAAGACAGCCATTATTATTTCTCTTCATAGGAGTGGTGAAACATCGAATGCCTTCAACTATATAACTATTGCCTTACTACCAATCCTTTTAAAAATTATTGTGAGACTTATAAAAGCCCGACTTACGTCCTTTCTCGTTGAAAACAACATTTTATCACAAAGTCAGTTCGGCATTTTATCTAATAAATGTACCAGTGATGCTATGTTTTCTGTACTACATGAGACCTATCAAGCACTAAACAATAATCTTTACACTGCCACTGTCTTTTGTGACTATGCCAAAGCTTTTGATTGTGTAAATCACGATATTTTAATAAAAAACTAAATTTCTACGGAACTGATTCGACTCAAATTCAAGGCATTTCTTTGAATTGGTTCCAATCTTACTTGAGGAATAGGAAACAACTAGTTAGAGCAAATGATACTGACTCAAATCACAAAAGCATTGTATGTGGAGTACCACAAGGTTCAGTATTGGGTCCTTACTTTCCTATCTTAAAATGACATACTAACTTAAAAATCGATGGAAACATTTTTCTTTTTGCTGATGATACCAGTATCACCTGCAGGAATTCTAATATTGCAATTCTTTATGCAACTATAACTTTTGATGTTCTTAAAATAAAAATCTAGTCCAACTCTAATTTACTCTCTTTTAACGTGGATAAAATAGTGGCATTATCCTATTGCCAGCAGTATAAGTCTAATTTCTTGGCATTTTTATAGACAGCAATTTGAAATGGTCTTTTTATATCGATTTGTTAAGTAAAGAAAACTAGCCTAGAAGGAAAATCAATTTAGTGTCTTTCAAAATAAACATATTGTTCGAGTTTAATTTTCGATATGGTCTTCTTTTTTGGGGTATCAGTACAGCTGCCCAATCTCATGTTATTTTTAAACTACAAAAAAAGCAATACGGTATCTTTTTGACCTCGGTAAAATAACACATTGCAGAAGCTACTTAAAAGATCACCGGATTTTAACTCTTTCCTCTAGTACTGAAGTTGAACAGAATCTGCCAAACCACATAAATTTCAATATTTTCATGGATAATTGGTTTACATCATATAATCTACTTATTAGTTTGAAAAAACGGGGCTTCCTTGCTGCAGGGACTGTAAGAAGTGGGCGGCTGGCAAGTTTTCTTTTTTTAGAAGACAAAGTTCTAATGGCAAAAGGTCATGGATCCTCAGATGTAAAAATAGAGAGCAAAAATAATATTACTGCTCTCAAATGGTATGCCAATAAGTCCGTCATATTAGTATCGAACTATATAGGCAAATTAATATCCTCTTGATAAAGTAAAGAGATGGTACAACAAGAGCAAAGCCTATGCAGAAAACGAACGGCCAGCAATTATCAAAGAATTTAATATTTCGATGGGGGGTGTGAATTTGCTTGACATGCTCGTGGAACTATATAGAATCAAAATTAAACCAAAACGATTCTATTTGAGAATAATATTTAATCTTATTGATAGATGTATTATCAACTCCTGGTTGCTATAACGAAGACACCGCAAACAAAAACAATTGAAACCCATAACCCTTCTATAACTCAAATCTGAAGTTGGACATGCGTTACTGAAAGCTGGAAAGTCCGACATGAGAAAACGAGGAGGTCCTTCTCAAGAAAATACACCAAATAAGAGATAAGTAATGCATTCTGCACCAGTGCAAGATGTTCGATTCGCACAAGGTGCAAATTATGTATAAAGTCTTCTTCTTCTTCTTAACATGCCATTTCCTCTAAGAAGGTTGGCAACCATCATCGCAATTCGCACTTTCGACGCCGCTGCTCTAAAGAGGTCAGGAGAAGTGCAGTTAAACCAAACAAGCTCTCAAATTATTCAACCAGGAGATGCGTCTTCTTCCGCGACTCCTTCTACCCGGTATTCTTCCTTGCATTATTAATTGCAAGAAGTTATAATGCTCGCCCCTCATAACATGTCTTAAATATTGCAGTTTTCTGACTTTAACTGTATTTAATACCTCTTTATCTTTACCTTTTCTTCTCAGCACCTCGACATTCGTGACTCATCTACCCAACTTATTTTTAATATCCTTCTGTAGGTCCATAACTCAAAGGCTTCACTCTATAAAATCTTACTCTAGAACAAAATGTTCTAAGTGAAATGTATTCTTCATGTTTAAACAATAATAAAAATTGTTTTTATAGTTACAATATTTGTCTTTTTAGGCGAACTTCGGCTGGCTCGTCCGCTGTCAGAGATTCTTTCAATATCACACACCGGTCAGCCGATACTTCTAACAGTAGTGGCAGAAGAAGTTAGATCGAATCCAAAAGAAGCTCCAGCACAATCAACTACGGTTCAGTTGGCTTTAATCCCACCCGGTGTTACTGCTGGTACACCCACTTTTGGAGCTATTGAGTACAACACTCTGCTGGATGAAAATTCACCAATAGGAACTGTGCTAGATCTTCCACAAGCTGAAATTTCGATTCAACCTGGAGATGTGGTTACACTGGAATTACTGAATAATAATGGTAAGGTTATTTATTTCTAAGTTGAACTAGTACGAAATTAAAATAAAACAATTTATCAGTATTATCCTTTCTTATAAAGGGTATTTTTTTAGAGGTATAGAACTTTGAATGGAATAAAATAGATGATTTTTATAATTGACAGACGTTGTACGAAATTAAATAAACAATTTATCAGTATTACCCTTTTATAAAGTCTTTTGTAGAGGTATAGAACTTTGAAATGGAATAAAACAGATGATTTTTATAAATTGACATGAAGTTGACTTTATTAAAAAGATAATATTTTGGCATTATAATTTAAATATGATTCCTGGCGTATGACCGTCAAAGCTGACTCTGACGTAGTCTAATCTGAAGGTCCAATTTTCGATCACTTTTTCCAATATTTATCGAAGTATATCAGCAATATCGCGACAAATGTTGTCCTTCAAGTAGTTAATCATTTCATGATTATCGGCGTTGACTAGCACCTTCACATATTTCTACCTAAAATAGTCTAGCAGCGTTAAATCGCTCGATCTTGGAGGCCAACTTTTTAACGTTAACGTTTCTTTTAATAAATCAATTATGGTGCGATCCTTTAAGAATTATTTTAAAAAGATTCTATATACTAGAATAATAAAAGTTATGCAAATTCATCCAATTTTTTAAAAATATTTTCATATGTGGTTATTTATTAACAAGTCTATGTACCAAGACGATTTTTCTCGATGCTTAACCTTCTTCTTCTTAGAGTGCCATATCCCTACGGAACGTCGGCGACTACCATGCTTATAATATTGTTATACTGATCTCGGTCTTGCGCTACGTGTAGCAATTGGTCCGCTGTCAAACCTGTCCACTGCCGCAAATTCCTCAACCAAGAGAGTTTCTTCCGTCCTATCCATTTCTTTCCTTCGATTTTACCGTTGAGAATTAGCCGAAGGAACTCATATCTTGGTCCTCTGATTATATGTCCAAGATATTCTAGTTTACGCCTCTTAATAATATTTAATAGAGTTCGTTGATGTCCCATTCTTCGAAGAACTTCTTCGTTTCTGGTTCTGCTAGTCCATGGAATTTTTAGTATCCTTCGATACAACCACATCTCAAACGCCTCGATTTTATTCATGATATCGGCGTTTAAAGTCCAAGTTTCACATCCATACAAAAGTACAGACCACACGTAACATCTTGTAAACTTTTCACGGATTTCCAAATTTAATGAGTTATTGGATAATAGAGGCTTGAATTTTTGAAATGAGTTTCTTGCCTGTTCAATTCTACATCGAATTTCGAAGGATGGATCTAGATTTTGGGTAATCCAACATCCAAGGTATTTGAATCTCTGAACTCTCTGCAGCGGTTGGTTTATATCAGTTGGTTGCGCCGATATCCACTTTACTGGTCACCATGTATTTAGTTTTATCGATATTTATCGACAGTCCCCAATTTGTGCATTCCATGTCAACTCTATTGATTAGCTCCTGCAGATCGTCGATGTTTTCAGCTAGAATCACAGTATCGTCGGCGTACCGTATATTGTTAATTATTTCTCCTCCTATGATAATTCCGATTAGCCTTTTGATCTTTTAAAGCTTCCCTAAATAGATTCTCAGAATACACGTTAAAGAGGGTGGGAGATAGTATACAGCCTTGTCTTACGCCTCTTTCAATACTGATTGGCTTTGATTCTCTGTGTTGAGATTAATAATGGCTGTTTGTTTCCAGTAAAGTTTGGCAATAAGTTTGATGTCTTTCTCATCTAAGTTGGATGCTCTGCAAGGCGGTAATTAGTCTGGTATGCTGAACGCGATCAAATGCCTTTCAAAATCAATGAAGCACATATATACGGGTTTTCTTACCTCCCAACATCGTTGAAGGAGTGTTTGCATAGAAAATAGTGCTTCTCTAGTTCCAAGGCATCTCCGGAACCCGAACTGCTCTTGACTAATTATTTCTTCGCACTTGTTGTTAATTCGGTTTAGAAGAATATGCAACAGTATTTTAACGGCATGGCTCATTAAACTAATGAGTCTACAATCGCTACATTTCTTAACGTTTGGTTTCTTAGGTAGAGGAATAAAGATCGATTTTAACAGTCCGATGGAATTTCACTGGTATCATATATTTGATTGAAAAGTACAGTGAGTTCTTTTATATTGTCATTTGAGAGTAATTTTAGCCATTCGCTGTATATTTGATCTGGTCCACTGGCTTTGTTGTTTTTGGCTTGGTGTATGGCTTTTTCCACTTCAGCTTTTAAGATTGATGGTCCTGTATTTGCACTTAAGTTAGGTAGTGATCCTCGATCATCCTTAAATAATGCTTTAATGTAGTTTTCCCATTCCTCCATTACTTCGTCTTCTAGGGATAGTGCATGACCTTCATTATTCGTTAATGTTATGGGTGTATTTCTTTTGTGTACTGTAACTTCTTTTATTTTCTTATGTGTGTTAAATTCGTCATGTTTTCGTTGCAATTCTTCTAGTTCCTCACATTTTGCTCGCATCCATAACTCTTTGGCTTCCCTGATTTTTCTTCGAATCAGATTATGCTTTCGTTTATACTCTGAGTTATTTCTATTTTTAAGCTGTCTTCTTTCGTCCATCATTTCGATTATTTCATCTTTCATCCACGCTTGCTTTTTATAATGGGTGACAGTTCCACTTTGCGTTGCTGTATCGATGATACCATTCTTTATGTTATCCCATCTTTCTTCGACTGTTGGTACATTGTATACTTGTGTGATGTTGTCTCGAATTTTTTCGTTCATTGTCTGTTCAAAGTGATGTTTAAATTCTTCTTCTTTTAGTTTTTGTCTATCGTATTTCTTTGTAATGGAAGGCTTTTTGATTGTCTTTAATTTTAGGTTGATTCTAGATGCCAGTAAATTGTGATCGGTGGCTGCGTCGGCACTTGGATATGTCTTAGTACATTTACATGAGTTTCGAAATCTATTGTTAATCATGATATAATCTATTTGGTTACGCATTACACTACCATGGCCATCTCTCGGTGATATCCATGTATAGAGACGTCTTTTTGGTTGTTTAAAACATGTGTTGGTGATAACAAAGTTTTCCTCTTGGCAGAACTCCACCAATCTATCACCTCTTTCGTTTCTTTCCCAAGACCGAATCCTCCAGTAATTCCGGGAGTTATGTCTTCTCCTACTTTAGCGTTGAAGTCTCCCATTATTACACAAATTTCGTGTTTTTTTGTGTTATTTAGTGCTTGCTTTAATACATGGTAAAATTCATTAATTTCGTTGTCTGTACTGTTACTTGTAGGAGCGTATACTTGTATTAAGTTTATATTAATCTTACTTTTAATAGTTATCATCATTATTCGCTCTGAAAGAGGAACAAATTTGTCAACCAGGTTTTCAAGTCGTTCCTCAAGAATTATAGCAACACCATTTTCATGAACATCATCCGTTTTTCCGGAGTAATAAGTAATATAACCTCCACTTTTTACAGTTTCCGATCCGGTCCATCTAGCTTCGCTAATTCCAAGGACTTGCAGGCCCAGACGTTTCATTTCGAGTTGTACATTGTTGAGCTTTCCTGATTGATATAAAGTTCTAACATTCCACGTAGCAATATGTTTTATTATTGATCTATTTTTATTTTTATTTTTCCCTCCGGAGATTCTTAGCACCCCTGTCCCATTAATGGGACGCCGGAGACTCGGGGCCGTAGTATGATTTGTATTTGTCATGGAGCTTTTCTTGGGAGATTTAGTGCAGTAGTTTCCCATTGCTTTCTGCACCGCAGTATCACAGCCAGTTAAATCAGTATGCTTAACCAGCACAGTATTATTATTAGAAATAGAAATAACGGGTTCAATTAGAAATACTTAACTTTATTTAATACTACTTTAATAACTCATTATACGAGACATAGACATAAATTTGTACTTGTCCTCCTCCTCAGTCCTAATCTCTGTTGGACGCGGTGACACCGTCAGGTCTTTACAGTTTTTTCACGATTTCCCTCCATCCTTCTCTGTCATAGGCTAGTTGTTCGGCTTCATGTAACCCTTGGTTAATTAATATTTCTGTTTGATCTACTCAACGGCTTGGAGATCTTCCCTTAGGTCTCTTTCCTTCAACTCTACCCTCGACTATCAGTTTTTCCATCGTATCTGTTGTTCTAGCAATGTGTCCAAAATACTGCAAATATCTTTGTTGTATTTGTTTAAGCAATCTATCCTTTACTTTAAGTTGTTCTAATATCGATACGTCAGTGCGATGATCAATCCAGGATATTCTTAACATGCGGCGGTATACACACATTTCAAAAGCGTCTAGTTTATTTTTATCCGCTTTCTTTAAGGTCCACGTTTTGGATGCATACGTGGCTATGGGAAAAATGAGTGTTATTATCAGCCTTAATTTACATAACATAGCTGTTCCAATAATATTCAACCTTCTACCTATCTCTCTGTCACACCCTCCGTCAGGTATTGTTAGGGACCCCAGGTATATAAAACCATTTACTACTTCCCGAGCTTTGTCTACTATCAAGATCTTTGTCTTACTCCTATTTAGCTTTAGTCCATTTGGTTTGCTTTTTTCCTCCAGACATCTCATTATGTCTTCCACTTCTTTTTGATTTGGCACTATTATTAAATTGCCATCAGCATATATCAAATTACTGATTTTTGGACCTCCTACTGATATCCACCCTTCCATCTGTCTAGTACCTTTCGCATAATGTGTTCGCTGTAGATATTAAATTGAGTTGCGAGATTATGCATGCCTGCCTGACAGCTGCCTCTGTTCTGAAATGATCGGAATGGGTGTTCTTTATTTTTACTGTGCACTTATTATTTTCATATAGACTTCTAATTAGTTAAATTAGGTGGTGGGGTGTTCCCATTTCCACTAGTATGGATCATAGCTGCTGCCATTTGACTTCATCAAAGGCCTTTGTGTAATACACAAAGCACATAAGCATAGGAGTATTGAATTCACGAGTTTTTTCGATTAGCTGTCTGACATTAAGGATGTGATCTCTTGTGATTTTTCCTGGGATAAATCCCGCTTGTTCTTCTGATATCTGAGGTAATAGAAAAGCTTTTAGTCTTACATGTATTAAATAAAGTAGAACTTTGCTTGCATGGATATAAGGGCTACCGTTCTGTAGTTGCTGCAATCTAGCGGAGTTCCTTTTTTGAATATAGGGATGAAAGTGGATGTTGTCCAGTCGTTGGGCCACTCTCCGGTTTCCCAAATCTTTTTGCAGATCATATGCATAACATTTACTCCAACATCTCCAGTCTCTTCTAAAACTTCTGCAGTGATCTGGTCTGCGCCAGGAGATTTTCTATTTTTTAACTTTTTGATTGCTTTTTCTACCTCTGACTTTAGAATGTTTGGTTCTCTCTCTGCAGTGAACTCGTCCTGATTTGCATTCTGGGGATCATCTGCATATAACTTTGACAATATTTTCTCCATAACTCTGCAATCCCATTCTCGTCATTTATAATATGTTGGTTTTGATCCATTATTGTTTGTGTGATTGGTTTAAATTCACTGGATAGATATAGGACTTTGTTATATAGCTCATGGAATTCATACCGGTTTGCATGTCTCGCTAGTTCTTCGCATTCTTCATTTATATGTTTATTTTTATCATCCCTACATGCTCTTTTAATTTCTCTATTTAATGTTGCTAATTCGTTTTTGTTGCTGTCGTTTTGATATATGAGAGATTTGATTCTCCTTCGCTCTTCGAGAAGTTGCAGCGTTCTGTCTGTCATCCAGTGTTTTCTCTTGATGATCTTTTTTTGGTTCTGGTTCTTTCTACAGAGGTTTCTATGGCATTTCTGAAACCTTTTAACTTTTTTTTTGGGTTGTCTTGTATATTCAACATACTAATTTCCTTTAATGCATCTCTAAATGTTTTTTCGGATTTGAAATCTCCAGAATGTTTTGATTTTGGTGCGGCATTGTTCTTTTTTCAACGTTCAACGTTTGTAAAACATGTCTTCCCTCTGTTTCTGATCAATATGTAGTCGATTTGGTTCTTGTATTCTCCATTTGAGCTGATCCACGTCAATAAACGACGGGCATTGTGTTTACAGTGACTAAACTGTTTTCGGATGCAAAATCTATTAAACGTTCGCCTCGGCTGTATCTAATACCTAACCCATAGTTTCACACATTTTGGTTGTACTTGTATTATGGCATAAAACAGATAGTTGAACAATACTAATAGGTCCTTTGATAATAAAATAATACGATTTCAGCCTATAATAAAATCCCAACTGCATAACTATATAATTTATTCTAATTTTTATTTAATTAACATAAAGCTTAATACATTATTAGATATGTTATTTTAGGTACCTTTGAAATCAGTCCTAAAGTCGTGGAAAGTAATACAAAGTTTCAAATATCCGTGAGAAACCCCAAATATTTAGATTATGACGAAAGACAATCAGTTGAATGTTACATTATAGCTAAAGAGTTAAGTGCTGGAAATTATACCGCCAAAGCAAAGTTAACAGTACTTCTAAATGACGTGAATGACAATCCACCGAAGTTCTCGAAAGATAAATATTATGGTACTGTTCAGGAACATGCTAAAGTCGGTACCCACATTCTTGTAGTAGAAGCAGTTGATGTTGATACAAACCCAAACAGTAAGATTCAATATACAAAGCTTACTGGCAAGGGAAGCGAACTTTTTAATTTAGATTCAGATACAGGATTGATTACTGTGGCCGACAGCGTTAAATTGGATGCTGAAGTTACACCACTAATAACACTAAAAGTAGAGGCTGCTGATGATAATGGTCAAGGACTTAAAGCTAACAGTACTGTTGAAATAAAACTAGTAGATATTAACGACAATCCACCAATTTTTGAGAAAGAAGTTTACGAATTCATATTAAAACCGGATAGAACAGGTTTTACATCTCCTGCTTTCATTAAAGCTACAGATAAAGATATTTCTTCCCCAAACAACGAAATACATTATGAAATTATAAACCTACCAGCAAATCTTTATATCGATGAAGCCTCTGGTGAACTTTTAGTAACAAAAACATACGATATCGATGATATAGTAACTTTAAGAGCAAGAGCATGGGACGGAGGAGTACCTAGGTTGTACAACGAATCTGAAATTAGGGTATATCCACCTGAAGGACAATCTCGGAAAATGGTATTTATAGTGCCTGGTTCAAATCCTGATAAATTGATTATAGCAGATACTTTAAGAACTTTAACAGGTGGGAAAGTTGCAATTGATCGAATTAGACCTTACACTGGCTACGAGCCTGGAGCAACATATGTAACTCATGATGATGATAAAGACAGGTAAGTTTGTAGTATTTTGCAGTCGATTTTTAACCCTTGCGTACACGAATTAAATTTCTTTAAGCTAAAAATCTGAAATTTGCAACATAACAAGAATGACCTTTTGCCAATTTTTGATATTAATTTTACACTTTCAAAATGCACAGTTAGGGCACTACAAGATGTCCTCTTTTAAGTACATCGTGAGCCAAAAACAAATAATCCTTTTTTTAAAAACTGACAAAAAACAAAAAACTAAAGTATTTAATTCAATAAATGATGTGTGCTATCTTACAAACAATTTTTTTTACTTATACAGAAATGAACATTGCATTTGTCGCATGTCATTAGGGATTTGCCCTTACAACTAGGCAATTTACATCTGGATGCATTAGGTTTATTTTCGTGTATGGGCCAATGACGAAATTTATCTAGTCGTACTTCTTTGACATGGAAGTTTTACCCACAGTACACTTGTGGCTTTTCCGTGGTTGTTCCGAGGTCTCTATTTTATAGGCATTTTTATGCTTTTTAACAGAACTTTTAAAACATATATGCTCTGAAGTATAGAAAATCTAGAATCTTTTTTTCTCAACCCCTAAAGCAACAGCCTTTTTTATGATCTAGCCAAACGTTGGCACATGATAAATCAATTGTATGATTAAATATTTTTATAGTCATTTTCTTTGTTTTAATAAAAATAAGCCCCCCATGTATGTATTGTAGCTTTTGATAACTTCAGATCGTTGTACTTGAACATATTCCTTGTGGATTTTGTCCCACCGTGTGCATTTAACTTTTTTACCAATGCTTATATAACATATGCACGTATACCATTGTAACGGGTTTATTGCCAAACTATTTTATCATAATGACCTCTCCATCACCACTAATTAATTCTTGGCATGATCTCTTTCTTCTTGATTTCAGTATCAGACAAAAATGGTGGTTATCCCAAATATTGCAGTACATTATAATTACTAAAATAGTCGTCATAGTACAGCTGAAAATTAGGTGCGGTTATTCTTTTTAATAGAGCCGTAACCACAGAGCCCATAACCCAATTATAAGCTATTTTGTTTCATTTAATTTAGTAGTTCAGTGCTTCCGCAAAACGAGAAGATTCAAATACTCAAAGGTGTCGGTTTATATTTAACACATGGTTTTATGTTTATCTGTTTCTTGAATCGCTTCATCCGTTCATTTATGCAAAATTGCAATTGTAGAGGCAAGGATAGGCACTTTTTTCTCATACAATTATATAGTGGCCTCACTTTTCACAGTGTGTCATTATCAGCAGGATTGTGTGTTATTAATGTTCACAAAATGTAAATTTTGGCGAAGTTTACAGAATCTGTTGACAGGTATACTATCAGCAATAAGGAATTTGTAGTTTAGATTCCCAGTAGCATCTACAATATGAATGCCAACAAATATTTTCATTTTCTCAGCTGAAATAGAAGAAAAACTATTTCTTAGCATAAAAGCATAAAAGTTAGTATATGTCACCATTTCTTCATAAAGATCATCAGTGAAATATGGTCGATAAAAATGATAAGGACTTTCAACTTCAAAGACGTAAGAGGTGACTTGCTCATGCCAATGTATATCTGGGATTAATTGTATCATGTTTGTTCTCCAATTGATACCTCCTTTTTCTGTTCGATCGTTGTTTTCCATAAAGTTATTTATTCTCTTTATTTTACTTTGTCTTGAAACTCTAGTCTGCGGTTCTTCTTCACCTTCTTCTAGTTCATGAACAAGCTCTATTCCTTCAGATGCTTCAGCCTCCTGCTCTCCAACATAATCTTGCAATTCAAGTTCTGTGACCTGCTCCTCAACATTACTACGTTCATATGCTTGTTCTTCAAAACCACCATCTTCGTCATCATATATTTAAAATCAGATCTCTGATTGATCTTCGATCAACCGCAAGATCTCCTCGTCGGTTAAGGGCCTTCTTGAACTCATTTTTCTAAACATATTCTAATATATTCCAATTTTTTATACAATTCAACAAAAAATGAGGTTTTATTTAACTAAAAATTAATTTTTTCGTTGATTCACAACGTCCACAAACGAATACCCGCTTTTTAAGAAATTCGTGGTTGCTAATTTTAAGAAAAACCGCTATTAACAATAGTTTTTTAACAAATTCTATTTATTAATACTATGCGACACTCTCTCTTCAATCCTGACCCCCAGGGGGAGTGAAGTGGTCGACGTGATGTCGTGCATTGTCCGTCTCCAGAGATCTCTGTCTCTGGTCATTTCTTTTAATTCATGCATAGGTTTTTGGCATATTCCTGTAATTTGATCTATCTATCTTGTTGGGGATCTTCCTCGTGATCTTCGGCCTTCTACCTTTCCTTGTATTATGAGTCTTTCCATGTTTTCTGTGTTTGCTCTCATAACATGCCCAAAATATTTTAATTGTTGGAGATGGACTTTACTAGAGAGTCGTTGGCTAACTTTTAGCTCTCTTAAAATTGAATTATTTGTTCTGCTGTCGGTCCAAGGAATTCGTAATATTCGTCTCCAACAGAACATTTCAGTGGCGTCTATCTTTCTTCTCTCCGATTGTCTCAAAGTCCAAGATTCACATCCGTAGGTCAGTATTGGGAATATTAAGCAGTTGATCAACCTCATCTTTATCGCTCTTGAAATTTGACAGTCCTTCCATATTTTGGTCATTTTTGCTGTGGCAACTTTTGTAGATCAGATCTACGTTTAATCTCTTCTTGTAATGACCCTGTGTTTGTGATTAATGATCCCAGATATAAGTATGAGCTCACAACCTCGAACCGGTCAATTGTGGTTATGTGTGGATGATTGTTGTGTAGTATATCCACTATCATGATCTTTGTCTTTGATTTGTTTAATTGCAGACCAAATATTTGACTTTTGTTTTCGATCAGTCGTATAAGTTCTATCAGCTCTGCTTGACTATTTGCAAGAAGGGCTGTGTCATTGCGAAACGTAGGTTGTTTAGTTTATGACCATTTATTGAGATGCCCTTGTCCCATCCTTCAAGTGCTCTTCGCATAATATACGCCCCATACATGTTGAATAATTGTGGAGATAGTATACATCCTTGTCTGACACCCCGCTCTGGATGAAATTCGTTCGAAAGTGTGTCAAGTACTTTAAATGATCCAGTAGTGTGTTCATATAGTTCAGTTATAAGCGTAATTAGATGTTGTGGTACGCCTACTTCTTTTAGTATTCGCCATAATATGCGACACATTCAATACCAATTGTTCACATTTACAACGAAAGAAACTTAAATCAATTTTCGCCGTATACACCAGTCATAAGTAACTACAGCTAAATAGTTAAATATTTTGTTCAAAAGCCGTTAGATATAATGCAAAACAAGTACTCATTTGACGAAATAAGATGTCCATAATCGGGGAAAAGTGTTACAAAGGTACACATGGAGCTACATACAAACAATTATAGAATAGGTCGTCCTCAGTTGAGGACACGGTGAACGAAAGGGTTAATATTACAACCTATCAAATATATATTTTTCTAACATTGCTTACTATATATTTCTCTGTAATTTATATTTGATTACATTGACCTAAATGTTCCAAAATAGTTTTTTCGAAATTTAATTTATTGTTCATCTTTATGCACTTAGGTGTTTTGTCAAGGGGGCAGTAAGAATAAGAAAAGTCATAGTCAGTCAAGTCAGAATAATGTAAGTGCCATTAGTCCCAAAGTTGTGGTTCCATTTTAGGCCTTTCACCCTAATTACAGAAGGTTCCTCTTTGTCAAACGAACAAGATTTCATAATATCTGAGTCAAAACCTTTAAGTAGACTAGAATAGTTGCTGGCCCATTTGGCTAGCTCAATAACACCGAGCTTTAACAGTTGAATGAGCTCTAGCTGCAGAGAGCGAGTAGATGCAAGATAATCATAAAAATGTCGCGTTAAGCTTCTGAGATTAACTCGACTATGCTAAATTGGCAGAATTAGAAGTATTCGATCTCTAAAATTCTTTGTTTACGTTAATTTGTCGATAATTTGCTTTATATGTAAATATTATGTAAAAACATAATAACTGAGAAAGCAACAAAAATATTGGGGAAAACCAAACCAGTTAAAGAAAACGAATGGTTTGACAAGGAGTGCCAAGAAGCAACAAATAACAAAAACAGGGCATACCTAAAGACAAATCAAGCTGGATGCACAAGAAGAGCAAAGGAAGAATACCGGACACTAAGAAGAGAAGAAAAACGATTACATAGAAGAAAAAAAAAAGACAATTTGAGCAAAAGCAGTTGGAAAGCACAGAATGGCTAAGAAATCAAAATGAAACTCGAAAGTTCTACAGAAATATAAACAAAATGCGCAAAGAGTTTAAGCCAAGAATAAGGAGCTGTAAGGATGTAGAAGGAAATATCCTAAATGATACGGCCTCAATCCTAAACAGATGGGTTGAATTTTTCGATGCAAAATTTAATGGCCATCATATCGAAGAAGCAGATAACACCCTAGCAAATCGAAATGATTGGAATCCTTTTAACCCAAACGAAAGACCACCTACCATCGAAAACGTTGCCCAAGCCATTAAAAAGCTTAAAAATAATAAATCACCAGGAGTTAATCAAATTGGCAGTGTGGCATCGCCACCATTCTACAAGAATGATGGCGATGCCCTACTACAGACACTGCATAAGCTTTTACTTCTTGTTTGGCATAATGAGACCATTCCTTGTGAATGGTCTCAAGGCATGATATGCCCGTTACATAAAAAAGGTGACCAGCTCCAGTGTGACAACTATAGAGGTATAACCCTGTTAACAACTGCTTACAAAATACTAGCAAATATTCTCTACGAAAGGTTGCAAGTTTACACAGTGGGCATAGTTGGTAAATATCAAGCTGGATTCACTCCAGAAAAATCAACAATTGACCAGATTCATTCAGTAAGACAGATTCTCGAGAAAACATTAGAATTCAATATTGAAACCCATCACCTATTCGTCGACTTCAAGGCCGCACACGACAGTGTCAAGAGAACAGTGCTATACCAATCAATGCATGAGTTTGGTATACCAGAGAAACTTATCCGACTAACGAGAATGACAATATCTAACTTAGAAGCCACTGTTAGAATACAGGGAGAGAGTTCTAGATCCTTTGAGATAAAGGATGGACTCAGACAAGGAGATGCTCTGGCTTGCCTCCTATTTAATATTGCCTTAGAAACGGCAGTGCGAGATACACGAATTAGGGATGGCGGTACTATTTACAATAGATCGATACAAGTCTTAGCATATGCTGATGACATTGACATAGTAGGGCGTAGCAAGCGAGATGTTGAGCAATATCTCATAGAATTGGAAACAGCGGCGAAACAGGTCGGTCTAGTCATCAACGAAGACAACACCAAGTACATGTTGGTTACAAAGGATCCGATAGCAAATGAGGAACGAGAAACAGTCTTTGAAAGTCATACCTTTGGACGTGTTGACAACTTCATATACCTTGGGTCGCTATTGACTGCTACCAATAAAACAAGCGAAGAAATCAAAAGACGAATAAATCTTACAAATAGGGCATACTATGGACTCCAAAAGCATTTCCACTCAAGAAATATTCAAAGAAGAACTAAAATTATTATATACAAAACATTACTGAGGCCGGTCCTCACATATGGAGCAGAAACATAAACTCTAACGCAGAAAGATGAAAGACTTTTGGGAATATTTGAGCGTAAAATACTCCGCAAAATATTTGGAGCTGTAAACGACCAAGGGCAGTGGCGCAGAAGATATAATTTTGAATTGTATCAGCTCTTTAATGAGCCAGATGTCATAACGTTCGTTAAAACAACGACTTAGATGGGCTGGACACATAATACGAATGCCATAAAATACCATTGCTAAAAAGCTAACCACAGGAACACCTGTAGGAAAAAGAAGCAAAGGCCGACCGCGAATTATGTGGGTAGATGGAGTAGAAACCGACTTACGAATATTAAAAATCAGAAGATGGCAACATGTTGCCAAAAACCGAACAGAATGGCAACGAATCTTAGAGCAGGCCAAGATCCACAGAGGATTGTCGAGCCAAAGATGATGATGATGATTTGCTTTATATCGCAATTAAAACAGTAAAGAAAATATCAAAAATTAAGTAATAGAGAAGAGATGCCCCTTTGAAGCTTAGGATCAGTATATAAAGTATACTTAGAGACACACCTTTAACGTCACGTAGACTGCCATCGCAGACAATAAGAATTTTAGAAATAGACGAATTAACAATTTGTTTTTTTAAAGACTGCATAATGCGCAAAGTAGTAAGAAGTATCATATGTTGGCATATAATAGAATCGGTCATTGGGTTGTCGAAATAGTAGAGGACAAACAAAATCTGACTGGTGACTCTCATCATAAGCTTAATCGTCCTAGGACAAAATAGCAGGTTTAAATATATTTTCGACTTTCCAAAAATTTTGTTAAAGAAAGCTTATGTTTGCCTTCATAGACGTATGTAGAGACGTAAAGTAACAATTTGAAAGAGCCGCAGAGACTCGCCCTTGTAGAATATAACCAAAAATGGTTTCTAAGGCTACAAGTTGATTTAGTTCACCGAGAATTCAGCCAGACTTTAGGAAGAGAGGAACCAATTCAGCATTTATGAGCATGTCTAGAGGACCTTTTTTTAATTGTCCTATTGCCAGACTCCAGTAAGAGCCTAAGAAGGTATCCATTGAATTCTGGTAGGAAACGGCGAGGGAAATATTTTTTAGACATCTAACGTTATGGAGCAAGGCACCGGCATCTTCTGGCTGAATGAGACACTAGGCCAGAAGACCCTAAGGTCATGCGGGATTAACCGTGTATCTACAACTAGCACCTCAGTTTTCTAAGGTGCTAGCTGTAGATCATTCTCCCTGATGAACCTACTAATACGACGCAGGGCTGTGTTAGCTGCATTAGCTACAAAAGGGCATCCTCTTGGCATCTGTAGCCTCAGTACTCCGTCGTATAGGTTATTTCACAGGGTGGAACGTAGTTCCTGGTTGATAAAATGTTTGATTTATTTTCAGATCACGCATATGAGTGAGATCGTGAGGATTTATGTATACTTTGTGTTGATTTTAACACTCCTTGTTTACAATAATCGCATCCAAAGAGAAAATAAGGATTCATTTATGTAACAATAAAACACTGAAAACTTTGTTTTCAAACTTCCACAAAATTTATTTTAAATATTATCACTACAGCTGTTTCGGCTGATTGCCTTTCTCAAGTGATCTGTTTTGGCTTGGGTTTACAAATTTATAGTCTCTAATGAAATAGGTTGAGGAGGGGAGAACTGTTTGTCTCAAGTTGGTCATTCAGAATTATATCTGTGTTTTTTAATTTGTTTATTTCCATAGATTCTAACAAAGATAGCTTAAGGCCTTTATTTTGAATGTGAAGAATTTTAAATTTGTCATTAAAGGAATGATTATGATCTAGAAGGTGAAGTGCATATGTCGAATCTGTTTTTCTATTCTTGAAAGCCCTTTTATGTTCTGCTATTCGTTTATCAAAGTTTCTACCAGTTTGACCGATGTAAGTTTTTGGGCAGTCGCCACATTGAAGTTTGTACACACCACTATTTAAGTGTTTTTTATTTTGGCTCTTGTTATTTTTAACATATTTGCCTAGGTTGTTATTTGTTCGGAAAGCTGGTGTTATTCCTTTCTTTTTTATGTGCTTGGCAATTTTTGTTGTTATTTTGCCTGTATATGTAATCGAGCAGAAGGTACTGGGTTTTTTCTCTGGTGGTGGAAATACTAATTTCAGGGCTTTCTTGTGTAGATTCATTTATGTTTTATAAAGTTTTTTAAAATTAAGGAAACGACATTTGATGTCCACAAATCACAGTAGTAAACATATCTATCCATAAATAAAATCTTACAGGTTTTTACATATAAAGATGACAGATGTGCTTGCAGCTAATGTTCCAGCTAATGTGCTTGGTAGAGCACGGCAATATTTAAATGATGGAATTATAATTTCATTACATCCCTCTTCCCAGAGGAGGAAGTATTCATGTTTTCAAAAAATTTGTAATCGTCTCCATCTTCTTCAAGTTATTTTTCGTCTTAGGGTGTTGAGATTGGAGTAAGATTGGAAATATGGAATATATTTTACTATTTTTCTTCGGTTCACGTTTATTCTGTAAATTGAATTCGGTTCCTTCGGATCACAATCTTAAATATTCCTAACCACAAATAAAATCTTACAGGTTTTGAAATATAAGGATGACAGAAGTGTCTATGGTTAATAATTCAGCTAATGTGCTCGGTAGAGCGCGGCAATATTTAAATGATGCATAATCAAATAATTAAGAAATAGAGTAGCTGTAAACGTGGTAGATAGTAATTTGTGTGTCTAAAAGCCATTAGTAAGTTTAGATGGTGAGACCAGACTGAAATTGCTTCTTAAATTATATGTTATTAATTTTTTGATTAACAATAAATTTAATGCTTTTTATGTGATATTTTTTATTATAATCTTCAAACTATATATGGGTTAATTTTTAGGAGCGTTGTAGAAGCAACTGTAACATTTTCGAAGGGAACTGTTGTCGATCTAGACGAAATTACAAAAATTATAAATCAAAAAGTACAAGAACATCGAGTAAAAGAAGTAGAAAAAGAAAAAGAACGTGAAATTATCAAAATACAAGAAAGTAGCAGCACAAATCTTACGTGGCTTCTTATTCTCTTCTTAGTCCTTCTCTTACTTGCCATTCTAATAATGGTAATCTGCTGTTTATGTAGGCCTTGTCCCTTGTACCATTACTATACATTTTACAGGAACAGAAAAGAAACTCCAAGCGTTGAAAAAGTAGAAAAAGTTCGTATAATTGGAGCAGGTGAAGGTAGAGATAGTAAGTCGGTACAAGTTGCAGAATGGTTTGGTAGAAAAGAAGCGTGGACACCTGATCAAGATGTTGAAGCAGAATCTTTAAGACGGCATGAGGTAAGTTACATTAATAACAGTAGAAGAGTTTAATAATTTTTTATTTCTTAAAAAATATTTTTGAGAATCCTCCACTCCTTGTATTTTTTTCTTCTTCTTTAAGTGCCATCTCCGTGGCGGAGGTCGGCAACCATCATAGCTATTCGCACTTTTGAGACGGCTGCTCTGAAAAGTTTATTTGATGTATGTACATTCGTACCACTCTCTCAGGTTGCGCAGCCATGATATTCTACGCCTACCTATGCTTCTCTTTCCCTGCATGGATCTTTCCCTGCATAAGTAGTTGGAGCAATTTGTCTTTCTCTCTACGTGTAACATTTATGTCCTAGATATTCTAATTTTCTTGTTTTAATTGTATTTAAAATATCCATTTCTTTATTCAACCTTCTCAGAACCTCTTTGTTTGTGACGTGTTCTGTCCACGATATTTTCAGAATTCTTCTATACACCCACAGCTCGAATGATTCCAGTTTTTTCATTGATGTCGCATTTAAGGTCCAAGATTCCATTCCATAAAATAAAGTCGAAAAAACATAGCTTCTCGCCAACCTAACTCTTAGTTCCAGTTTTAAATCCCTGGTACATACCACTCTTCTCATTTTGTTGAAATTTGCTCTAGCCTTTTCTATTCTTATTTTGATCTCCTGAATTTAATTATTTGTGAAGTTAATCATTCTTCCCAGATATGCATATTTGTCCACTTGTGCGTTGTTGGTTCCGTTTATTAGAAGATTATCATTATTTCTTTGAGTTTTCGATATTCCCATAAATTTCGTCTTTTTGACATTCATTGTTAGACCTACTCTTTTCCATACTCTGCTATTCTGGTCACCAGTTTCTGAAGATCTTTAATGTTTTCGGCTAAGATCACAGTGTCGTCTGCATATCTAATGTTGTTAATGGGAATTTCATTTACCTTTATTCTAGCTGTTTTAACCTCAAGAGCGTTTTTCAGGATACCTCTTCGGTGTAGGCATTAAAAAGAATTGGCGACAATACGCATCCCTGTCTCACTGCACATCTAATTTCAATTTCTCCTGACAGCTGTTCGTTAACTCGTACTTTTGCTCGCTGTTTATAGTATAAATTTGATATGATCCTGAGGTCGTTGTAGTCAATCTTTTTTGATTTCATGACATTCATTAATTGTTTATATCGTACTTTATCGAATGCTTTATTATAGTCAATAAAACATGCGTATATATCTTGATTGACGTCCAGGCATCTTTGCATTAGTATATTAAGTGAAAAAAGAGCTTCACGCGTTCCTAGGCCTTTACTGCATGTGACCCGTTTTTAAAAAGACAGCCACATGCAATGATGTGAGTAAAATTCTACCGTTAGTGATTCCATAGTACATCATGAGGAAATAACCAGGAGAAAAACCTCATGATTTTTTTATTGATTTTTCTTTTTAATATGGGTAACCAGATCCTACTGCACTCTGCGAGAAATGTGGGACTCAACTGGTATTATTAATGCTTATTTTATACCAGGGGTGGCCAACCTTTTTAAGACGAGTGCCAATATGAGACCAAAAAAAATTTGGCGTGCCACTAAAATTTTTCGACATACTAATATGGATATTATATATTAATAATATATGGTACAATATGTATTTCTTATGTAAATTCCACATTTTTCCGTTTAGTCAAGATAGTGGAGGTTTAAAAAATAACGTAATAAGTAAAACATAACAACAAACTTACTTTATTGTTAATAAATATAAAATAAAAACGTTAAACAAAAAAACTTAAATATTTTCTTATTATCTAAAATTCAAATTATTAAACAGTTACTTATTTAATGTGGTATTTGAACTTGTATTTTTTTAATTAATTCATCTATATTGGGATTAATTTCGGAACTAGCCAAGAGAATTAGATTTTTTAAATGCATGTCAGTTAATCGTGACCGATATTTTGATTTTATTATGTTCATAATAGAGAACATTTGCTCACAAACGTACGTTGAACCAAATCTACAACAATATCTCAGAGCTAACTCGTGTACATTAGAAAAATTGTTTGCTGGTACCAATTTCCAAAATTCAATTTAATTGGGATCAGTAACAGTTGAAATAATTTCCCCATATTTGGTTTTTAGTATAGTGTGGTTCTGTAAATCAATAATTTCGATCTGTATTTCAGCTGAGTAACAATTGATATCTTGCAGAGAAATAGAAAAAGGATTTATGAAAAGGTCAACATTCATTTTGTCTTTTTGAAAATCTTCAAACCGGGTATTGAATGAACCTAGCAAAATAGATATAAGGTTTTTAAATCTGTCATAATTTGGAGTTCTACTGACCTTGTTGGCTAATTCTTGCATTAATGTAAAATGTGTCAATCTCTGTTCTCCAAAATCGTTACAAAAAAACATAAGTTTATTCACAAAAGAAGATATATGACCAACTAGAGTAGGAAAAATACAATTTTTTCCCTGTAATCTTAAATTTAATAGATTTAAATGTCTCATAATATCAGTGAGAAAAGCTAAATCCCAAAGCCAATCTTTATCATTAAGTAATGAGCTCACTGGGTAGTTCATTGTTTTCTTGCAAATATTTTAAGACGCACTTATTCAAGTTCCAAAACCTTTCGAGTGCATTTCCTTTGGACAGCCAGCGCACACTGCAATGGAGAAGTAACTCTCCATCTTGCTCCGTTTCTTCCGCGAACAGTTCTCGAAATTGTCGTCGATTCAATGCCCGAGCTCGTATTTTGTTAATGCAGCGTGTTACAGGGTCAACAACAGATGACATGTTTAGGTCCTTGGCACAAAGAGCTTCCTGGTGAATAATACAATGGTACTTAAAAACTTTTCTTCCCAAATAGTTTTTCAGTAATGTAACAAACCCCTTTAATCTACCAACCATGTAAGGAGTGTAACCATCTGTACAAACACTATCTAATTTTGACCATTCAACTTTGTTGACTTTGACTAGCAAAAATGCTTAACTGTGCATTTTTTGTGTTGTCACAACTTTCATCCAACGCTAAAGAAAAGATTTGCAGGATTGTAATCCACTTATAATTTGGGAAACAACATTCTAGCCCATATCATCTATACGGCGCATGACTGTATTTCGGGATAATGCAATATTATCGACCATATTTTTGATCTTTACATCTCCCACATTTTTAGCAAATATTGCCAGACTATTTTTAATTATCTCCTCTCCATCAGAGTAGGCTTTTTTCTTCCGGGCTAACAGCAGAGAAAGTTCATATGATGTTTTAACTATAGTTTCCATTTCATCACTTCTCTTCTGAAACAGTGACTGTTGGCTGGCTAGGGTTTTCTTTTTTTTTCCAATGAAGTCGACTCGCAAATGTGAACCAATAGGATATTTGTTGCTGAAGTCCTTATGCAGTTGTTTATAATGCCGTTCCAGGTTAAATTTTTTCGGAACTGCTACAGACAATCCACATATCAAACAAACAGGCTTTAAAGTATTACGATTAGTACATAAAAATTGTACTTCCCAAGCAGGTTGAAAATCGCGAATTGCAATATCATCTTCGTATTTTCGTTTTGAAGTTGAAGGCTTACTCGTGGACATATCGAACAAATACTTTTAAAATTTTAAAGAAACAATGCGCGATGACAAAATGTGCACATACAACGGGGCAGTTTAAAATAAACTAAGCAAGGGTAACGCAGTCCTATTGCACATTACGACAGCTAGGATCACGTGCACCAATCGCAGCAATATCGCTCGCCAGAGGATGCAATGATGCCGCATGTATCGTAACTTCCGTAAACCTACCAAGTTTCTTCTTATTATTTTTTGTTTTTCAAGTTTGAATTTTTTTGAAAGTTTGGTCAGTTTGAAAGGACTCAATCGTGCCACAGAGTGGCACGCGTGCCGCGGGTTGGCCATCCCTGTTTTAAACTTATGTATATTGTGGTTATTCCTAACGAAAATAGTAATTGCACTAAGATGCCACAAGAAAAAAGCTTTAGAACAGTATTATGATGATGATCATGATTTATACTTCTGTACATACTTTTGATTTTTCTAATCAGGTATATTGGCTATCTTCTTTTTTTTTATAATTAAAAAATATTTTGTGTATTATTATTTATTATTTTTTAAATATTGCATATTAAGATTATTATATAAATATTAACTTGGGGCTACTTTATTGTCTGTTTAAGGTTGATAGAGGATCAGATCAAGGAGGAGTAAAAAGAACAATCCAGAGACAGAGTGAAGTCCAACAAGAACCGTTAAGAGACCAATATTATATACGAGAAGGCAACGCTGATATTTTAAGACTGATAACAAGAGGAGGTGAGCCTCAAAGGGGAATGAATATAGCTACAGAACAACAGTATATGGCTGCTGATACCGGAAAGGATATTTTAATGCGACGGTATATTGAGCAGCAGCAAGCAGATCTTAGGTCTCAGGTAAATATACAGTTTTTTATCTGGCTTTTTTATCTGGTCGAGCGTTATGTGGTTGGCGTTTTACAGATCCATTAGGTTCTATCAAACCAGTGGGTGATAGTTGTTTCTTTTTTATCAAAATATGAATTTTTCCTGTTGATACTATGTAGATTCTGGAAGATTTTTTTAAAAATGTTTTGTCGTTATATGCGATACACAGGGTGTTTCAAAAAGGTATGTCATAAATTAAATCATCCATTCCGGGGATAAAAATAAATTGATTAAATCCAACTTACCTTAGTACAAAAGTGTAAATAAAAAAAGTTACAGCCCTTTGAAATTACAAAATAAAAATTGTTTTTTTGCAATATCTCCTAAACTACTTGACGTTTTGTAATAAGAATGGACATGTTACTTTCTTCTTTTGAAAGCATTTTTTATAAAAAAGAAACAACGAAATCTAAGCGCACAGAAAAATTTTAAGGGGGGTGTGCAGTAGGGTGGAGTGAAACATAAAGAATTTTTTTTTATTTTTTATTCGAAATGTAATAGCGCGAAAAAGTTGCTTACTACATAGAGGAGTACCATGTTTTTTTATTTTTTTCTACCATTTCATCATCAGGGTTCTACAGGGTGAAGCAAAAAAGAATAATACAATTTTGTTTAATGTAATAGCGCGGAAGCTAAATATATTAATGACTATTAGGCTTTTTACCAACTTTTATAGTTTCAAAAAGTCTTCTACATTTAAAAAGACAAGAAAAGACAAATCCCTCATTTTATAAAAATTTTTAATATAGAAAACAATAAAAATCTCTAATATAGAAAACAAACCGTTTACTAAATAAACAGGTTCTCTTTAAAAAAATGTTCAACCAAATATTATTATTTAGACTATTAAATGGAAGTTAAACTGCTACTTGTCTTTAAATTCCTAAAAAATGTATGCACTGTATTGCGCCTTAGTGTTAAGTCGAGGTAATATGGCTCTTGAATTAATTCTTGCCCGAACAAATCAATCTCTGGAGTCATAGCCGAGGACATAATTGGAAGCTTCTGTTACGACCTTCACACATCTTTCTACTGCTTGAATATGACAAGAAAATGACAAAAAATTAGTTGGAAAAATTTTTTCACCATTAATACATTTTCTAATATTCTCATCAGTTGTAGTAGATAAAACGGGAGGATTTGTAACAGAGCAATTTTGCCAATCAATAAGTTCATAATATTCACTAGCATTGAAATTTAAACCAGGAATTAGAAACTCTCTTACCTTGTGTCTACAGTAGGTATTTTTGTGCTCGTCTTCAACATTCTGCGTAAGGCAAGTTGTCTTATGGTAAGACGATCATTAAAAAGCATTGCTGGAGAAGGTTCTCCGGATGACAAAAATACGAATTTCTTTTGATAACAGGATCAATGACGGCTTTTAACTCGTTTCTTAGAAAGCGTGACAATTTAATCATTTTAAAGACGTGTCTTGCTCCTTCACTACACGATGGCTTAGTTTTAATATTAAATCACACTGACGCATAAACTTTTACCACAAATTCAGCCAAAGATCTTACAACCAAAGACAGATTTTCACTTCCGACGTAAACACGCAATATATGATTTGCCTTTGTAACCCATCGTGCATGTGATAATATACCCGGATTACGAGTTGCTAAATCTATCGAGCACTTTCCACTAGAAACCGAATGACAAATTTAATTTAAGTACTTTTGATCACTGCTAAGGTCCCTTATAACTGCAACATCTAATTGTGGTAGAGTGTAATGAATAGGACAAAATGGATTACTGGCAAATTTTCACAAGACTCAAATAGTTTACCTATTTTGCCAGAGTATTTACAAGGTCCCAAAGTTTCTCTATCGAGAGATTGAAAGATGTGCCGGAGGAACAATTCATTCATGTGTAACGGACAAATTGTCCACTGCAGAGGACGTTTTAGTTCTGTCTCTAAAAACCGTAAAACCTCATTCTTCCTCCCAGTGTTGACTGCTGTACCGTCGCAGCCTAGTACTAAAAGATTACCTGTGCCAATACCGGATTCTTCAAAAAAAATTAGTATAGATGTGGCAATATGTCTTCCTGTACCTGACGTTGGAGTAATGTGTTTTAGATGTTTAAAACCTGGTTCTTCAAGTAACGAAATGTGTTTTTTCGGTTTTTATCTTGCAATGAAAAGTTTATCTCCTTTTCTTGGCACAGAGTTTTATCCTTTCTGCCTGAACTTTTTCACTCTTAAATTATAAGTCTCATTGCGTTTTTGTTTTGGATATCTGATGAGAGTTTGGTACTTACTGAGGATATCACGAATTAATCGAATAATACGATTGCTTGATACAGTGGGGACTGAGGCTTTTTCCCAGATGGCTTCTTTTTTTGGCAGATTTTTTTCTTTTTTTGATGCGCAGTAGAGCCCTGAAGATATTTTTATTTTCCACTGAAATTTTAGCAGCAAGTATACTATAGGTAGGGTCAACTTTTCGCAGGTATTACATGTCAAAAAAAAATATCGATTTTTTCGCTCTACCCTAATGTCCAGGCCTAAATCCTCCCAAACTCAAATTAAATGAATTTTGTGGCATCATTAGTTTAACACATTATTTTAAAATTTTTTTTTTTTGCCTCGTTACTTTTTTCAAAAACAGTTTTTATTAAGTTAGGTCCCCTTTCATTAATCTTTAAAAAAATTATGTGCAACTAAATAAATGGCTTAAATGAATTAACAAGTACAAAAAATGTCTATAATCTCTATAAATATGATATTACAATAAATGTTTAAAATTACCCCAATTTTCTTCAATACGCATTCGGTATCGTTTTAATAAGGAAAACCGAATGCGCTGAAAAATCACATTTTTCTGACAGAATTGATGTACAGCTTCAATCATTCTAACTCTCAATTGTTGTTCGTCCTCTATTGTTACATAATACACTTTCTCTTTTATAAACCTCCAAAAGCAAAAGTCGATGGGGTTAAGACCTGGACTTCTGGGTGGCCAAGAAATAGGTGCTTCACGACCCCTTCTAATCCACCGACCAGGATAGTGCCTGCAAAGGTATTCCAGTCTTCATTACTGTAATGCGGTGGAGCGCCATCTTGTAGACACCACATATTTTGCCTTATTTGCAATATTCACTTCTTGCAAATACTCTTGTAAATCGTTTGCCAAGAACTGCAAACCATTATCACCATCTAAATTGTTGGGGAAGTAATGGGTACTGGGCCTATTAGATTGTTATCCACAATTCCTGCCTAAACATTAACTTTGAAACTCCTTTGGCAATAAGTCGTTTTTTTTGGCGTGAGGATTTTCGTCGGCCCAAATCGGGGGTAGCCTAGTCGGTAAACAAAATATTTCTAATAAAATTAATATTTCGAGTGTTTTCCATTAACAACCAATCGCAAAATCCAATCATTTTAGAATAATCTTCAACCAATAACATTTGAACCGTTGTTAAGTGATAGGGTTTAAGCAGCTGATCCTTCAAACGCCTCCAAACCCTTACGTGAGGAACATTTAGATGAGCAGTTATTATCCTTGTACTTGTTCCAGGGACTTCTTCAATGATTTCTAAAATGTCTTCAACAGTTGCATCCATTATTGGACGACCACTATTGCCAGCGACTTGAGGTTAGAATATACCCGTTTCCCGTAAACGACGATTAATGATCAGAAATAATCGTCTGTCGGGTGTATTTTGATTGGGGTATTTTACTGTATAACGCCTTGCGGCTGCTGCACTATTTCCTTGACATTCACCTACGATATTCCCGATAGTTTATTGAAATCATAATATAATCTGATCCAACTTCCCCAAGGTTAAATGCATATCTTCCATTTTTGAAATGTGTAGGCCATTGTAATATCAAAATTTTTAATATTATTGATGGAACTGTTTGTAATTATTGTATCCGTAGAAACTAATTGTAATTTTATGGCCAACTATAAAAAAACTAGTTTTTCGAAAAAGTGATACGAGGCAAAAAGTTTTAAAAATAATGTGTTAAAGAAATGATTCCACAAAATTCATTTGATTTGAACTTACTCAAAAGTTTGGGGGGATTTAGGGCTGCACATCCACTTAAAATTTTTCTGTGTTCTTAGATTTTGTTGTTTCTTTTGTATGAAAAATGCTTTTAGAATAAGCAAGCAACGCGTGCATTTTTATTACAAAATGTCAAGTAGTTTAGGAGATGATGCAAAAAAAAACAAATTTTATTTTTTAACTTCAAAGGGCTGCAACTTTTTTTGTGTACACTTTTGTACTAAGGTAAGTTGGATTCTATCAATTTATTCTTGTCCCCGGAATGCGTGATTTAATTATGACATACCTTTTTGAAACACCCTGTAATATGAAACCACAATTTGTCTGTATTTATTATTTCCGTGTTTGACTTTATCTTTTCGTTTTGTCTTTTTTGACTCTATCTTCATTCTTTCAGCAATTACTTGAACTTTGTCTTGCCCTTTTTTAAGAAAATCATAAAAAAATTCTTTTTGTTCATCTAGGGAGAGTTTCTGGGGACATTTATTGCGACAGCATGTAGTAAGCGCTTAAAATACTTTTGCAAGTTTTTGTATACTTTTTCTTGTAATATGTTCTTTTCCTGATATCTTCGTTTTTTTATTGCCACTCTATTATATTTTGGTTTTTTTAGGTTGAACATTAGTTATTTATTTGGTCTTTGCCATCATCACTTTTATTTGTAAAATTATCATTACCTCCGTTGTCACACATATTATTACTAGTAGTAGCTACTATTTTACTATTTTTAGATTGAATTGCTTGATATTTACCTGGCCTCTCATTGTTACTTATGTCAGACAAAGTGTCTGAAGGAATTTAATTTTCATCTACGTCTGAATTTTCACTACCCAAATATGACACTAACTTTTTAGAATGACCAGTTGCTCCAGAAGTTAAACTTATATTTTAACTTCTTTATTAGAAATAAAGAAAAAAAATAATTAGAATTAGGCTTTATGATCTTTTCACTATACAAATGTCATGTAAGGTGCACTTTTTGAACTCATTTTTTATTAAATAATTAAAATATACATAAAATAGAAATAAATTAATAACAAAATAAAATAAAATAATCAAATATTTTTTACTTAACTCACTGTAGCATATGCAACTTACATTGCATATTCTTACACTAATTTCCATACTTAGATTAGTGTGAACAATTTTCTACTTAAATAATATAATATAAATATTGTAATGGATTATTATTATATTATTATTATATTATTATATATAATATTATTAAATATTGTAATGTAATATAAATTATCTTGTCATTGATCACCTGTGGCGGATTATCAAGCCATAATGTTTAACGTTATTATTTATATATGAGGTTGAATGAAATTCTCCTGTTTGTTAGTTCTAGACTGGTTAATGCGAGGAATTGCTATTACAATACCTATTTCTTTCATTGGTTTGTCTCTTACAAGCCGGTTGTCATCCAAACTCATTTAAACTTTTAAATAGACCGCCCAATTATTTGGGTTGGTACCTCTACCTTGTTGCTCTGTCAAAAAAATTTTTGACCTCAAGGTTGGCTGTCTTTTCACGGTTTAGTTCGGTCTGTTTCATTTAAACGCCATTTTTCCGGCGACAGCTGTAAGGCTTTGATCGGTAACTTCATTTACACTACTTTTTAAATAATTATAATAATCACTTACAATGCTACCTAAAGTTAAAATCAAAGCTTAATAATTATCAAATAGTTGGAAGTAAATCTATGAATTTCTTAGTTCTTTTCTGCATTACTTAAGATTAAATATAATATTTCATTTACTTTAGACCACATGGTCAGTTGCTGTGCTAATGTTTTATAAGTTGCTATATGTTGTTAGTCACTTGATTGTTTATACATTATCACCGTATAATGTCCATTTACTTGAGTTATATTCACATACTTGTTATTATCTTTGACTGCTACATGTCTTTTTAAGGTAACATTTATAACATCGTTTCCATGATTGTGTGGTTCTCATATTGTACTTTTTAGATGAACTGATGATGCTTTCAGATTACAAAAGCGAAACGTCTTCAAAATAGATAAAGTAGCCTATCAACTTTGTCTTCTATTTCTCCACCTTGAGACCGATATAAGAACCCACCACTCGTCTGAGTGATCCTTATATATATATATATATATATATATATATATATATATATATATATATATATATATATATATATATATATTCCTCTGTTACATACTCAAAATTATTCATTTTTTTTTGTTTCATAATTTTAAACTGTACTCATTTAACCATTTGCATTCTATAAACTTACTCTCACTTACTGCATTGATATTCTTGTCATTATTATAATAAAAAATATAGAGGGTCTGAAGTCTAAACTAAATAAGATTAAAGATCACTTTTAATTTTGATTTCGAAGAGCAATTTATTATTAAATAAAAATATATTTCTAGGTTCTTCTACCAAATGCAGTTAGAGCTCAAAGTGAGCATGAACTGTTAGAAGCGTCGCTTCGCCAACAAAATGCATTGCTGCGCCAAATTCTTTTAGATAGAGAAAGAGATTTACGTTTAGAAACCCAGTCCTTGCCAGCCGGTACGCAAACCGATCAAGATGCAGGAACACAGACAGAACCAGAACTCCTCAAACCTCCAAAGCGAGAAATTCGTTCTGATAACGATCAAAGCGAGTACAGTGACGAAGAAGATGAATTAGCCATTATTAAAGCTAGGGCAAAGAGAAGGAATGGTCGCAAAACGCATATTAAAAGAAAAATTAAAACACCAATTCAAGAAGAAGTGGAATTAGAAATAGAACATCCTCATAAGGAAATTGATAAATATAGAGAGAGTAGAGTTAGTGAAGTAAGGCAAAAGCGAGCTCCAAGTGAAACAATGTCAATCGATACTTATTCTTCCAAGTCAGAACTAAAAAAAGAAGTCTTAGAAGAATTGCTAGCATCCTTAGAACAAAGTTTTGATAGTGATAGTGGAGAATACCACAGAAAAAAAGAAAGATTGAAATACCTATTAAAAAAAGACATATTTTCTGATGACAGTCTCGAGATTAGTGGAAAATCTGATGAAAAGACTAGCACAGATTCTAGTAAACAAAGATACCATTCGGAGATGGATTTAAGAATAATATCTTCCAGAAATCGAAGAAAATCATCAGACAGTTCAACAAGGTAATTTAAATTTCTTTATTGAATAATTTTAAGTTTATTCGGTTTTTATATATTTTCAAATAATATTAAAAAAAAAACAGATTACCTTTAGATAGAATTTCGTTTAAAATTCTCAAACATTCAAAACAATTTATTCGACAAAAATAGCTCGACAAGATAAATGCTTCCTCGTGAGTGGTATTTGATAGCTATTTTTGGTATGCGGTCTTTACTTATTCTATCTACATGGGAGTACCAGTTGTTAAGCTAGTGATGTATTATTTCTTCTACAGTCGAACTCGCTTAGTCGAATAGCCTTCGTGTCAAGAAAAATATTCCTATAACCGGGATATTCTAATAACCGATCATTGGTGGCTAGTAGAAATAAGTGAACCGAAACTGAATAGTACCTACTATACAGTATGATGCAAATGTATGGAATAAATTCATTATTTCAGAAACAGACGACTTTTAAACAAATCTTGAAGCACGTCAATTTTAATTTTTGAATGACCATCAACTGCTATATATGTGTTGAAGATCATGAGTGTCGGCGTAACGACGTAATCGACGATTTATTTAAATACTAACCGAGGTCACGCGACAGCCTATTTGAAAGGTCTCCTTATCGCTTTGCAACGATATAATCATTTGAATGTTTATTTCTACAGGGTTAACTAAAACTGTGTAAAAATAATACAATTAACTTACAATAAATGCGTCTTCTTCTTCGCGTGCCATATCAGAATTATCCGACGTTGGCGATCACCATTGCGAAGGCTTCTCGATCTTCTGCAATATGGAATAATTGTCCTGCATTTGATATATGAGTCCATTCACGAATGATTTTAAATCAAGAAACTTGTTTTCTTCCTACACCTCTACGGCCCTCTATTTTGCTTTTAAGGATCAGTTGTAATACTTTATATCGACTTGCCTTTACTATATATCCCAGATAAGACATTTTTCGATGGTTAGGGGAGGATGGGGCATTGTGAACCATCTAAGGAAGATATGCACATACTGTTAAACCTGTGAAATGATTTTGTTTTGTTTAATTAATTAGGGACGTTCATTAAACATTTAACTGTCATTTAGTTGCAATTGAAACATATTTTATTTAACGTATTTTCAACAAAAAAATGACAACTGACTATATGTCAAAAGTTCACATTGCCCCATAGGGTGGGGCAATGTGAACTACTGAGGAAAGTCACACTATTTCATTATCTAATGGCTATGTTTGGTAAATAAAATCAAGTAAAAAGAATATTTTTATTAAAAATACTTAGAAAACCGGTAACAGAACATTAGTAAAAATAGACACATGTTATATTTATTCAGAAATATAAAATTCACACTGAAATTCTTCATCATCTTCTGGATCTATTCCCGCACATGCTTCATGAGCCCATTTCAGACAGGCCGAGCAACGTACCCATCCTTCTTCATTGGCTGATGAGGAGAACCACTCGTTACAGTAAAAACATTCAGCATCTTCACCATTGCCATCATATTGTACTTGATGGTTACATTTATTTTTTTTCTTTCCCTTACCATCTTTGGAAGGACAAACTTTTATTTTTTTGTTACTTCTTTCACTATCTTCGTGCTTATCATCATTTATTTTTTTCTTAGCTTTTTCCTTTTTTATTGTTTCTATTACCTCCTTCGTGTTTATTTCAAGTTCTAATTCTAGCTTATACGGACTAGATGTCAGTACAGCCGTTTTACCTTTTTTAGATTTCCTCTTTGGTTCCATTAATTTACTTCTCTTTGGCAGAGGACGAATGTCTTTAGGGCTGTTTGCTCCAAATGAAGTTGTTGCCTCATATTGACTTGACACTGGTAGACTATTATTATTCTCCAAATCTCTTTCAGTCGTAGCAGATGGTGCAAAATCGAGGTCTGTAAATATATTGGGATCATAAGGTACTATCCCACATTTTTTAAAAGCGTTAATAGCAGTCAAAGGTGTTGCAGCTTGTAAGAAAGCCTCACCAAAAATTTTAGAGATTTGGAAAGCTGTTACCACTCTGCCTGGGTTGTTATTAAGAAACTTTTCTAATGCCATATCATAATATCGTGCTAAAGGAGCCATGACACCAACATCGGTTGGCTGCATTCGATGGGTGGAATGTGGAGGCAAACAAATGATATGTACATGTTTTTCCCTAGCCAAATTAATTACTTCTATGTTTTTTGTATGGCTGCTGTGTCCATCCAAAATCAATAAGATCGGATCGTCTTCACTTGGTTTCGTTTGTTGAAGAAAATGTTGAAACTATATTAAAAAGAGTTCACTATTTATCCAGCCACTATCGCTACAGGCGAATATTGAACCTGGAGGTGCACCAGCTTGGAGTTCGACTTTCATTCTCTTTCTTGCAAAGATTAACATCGGCGGTATGAAGATTCCTGATGATGACATGCAAATAACGGCTGTTGTTATTCCACTTCTATCAGCAGAAGTAAGCCGTCCAACTTGTTTCCTTCCTTTATGCGCCAAGATTTTACTATTACATTTGGGGACTGTACCTAGACCTGTTTCGTCACAGTTAAAAACACGCGTTGGATTGACATGTTTAGAATCCAAAGTAGCTTTATACAGATCAAAAAATTGTTTTACATTGTAACGATTAAAAGCTTCAGCTCTTGCAGCAGATGTTGATTCGGGTTTACGTAATGAAAGCCCTGGGTGCCGTTTTCGAAATCCGTATGCCCAATCTAAACCTGCAAGTTTGTTTGTTTTATTATATGGATGGTCTATGTTATTTTTTTCGGCCAACTGGAAAGCTAGGTGACGAAGATCAAGCAAAGTAATTCCGTATAAACGCTTCTCCATATCTAAGATATAATTATACAATTCTTCTTCCTGTTCCTTGGTAAAAACCGTTTTGTAGAAACCTAGACCGTTTTCGTCAGGAGAAATTCTTGTTACTTTTTCTTTGCATCTGCGAATTAACGTTGCTTTCGGGATACCATAAACTTTACTAGCTTTTAAATAGCCCATCTCCCCAGCTTTAACTGTCCGGATAGCATTATTCAAGGCAACAAGAGACCAGGATTGTTGCTCAGTTTTCCTCACATAATTTTGTACCATTTCTAACTGCAAAAGAAGCATATAATTAAAAAAGTGTCAAGAAAATATAATGGGGCAATGTGAACCACTCCTAGTCCACGTTGCCCCATGCGTAGTACACATTCAAAATATGGAAATTAACGTACCAGTTCACAACGTATCAAAAGCAAATCTTAATTATTAAAAGCACATTTTACAAGCAACACCACAGTATCAAAAAGTTAAAATAATCATGTCTACTTACCGAGAAATCTTTAGTTAAAAGTAGTAAATTCCTTAGATCAGCAGCGACGAAACACGTGTTTTTAATTATAACACGTCTGAACGTACTCCCCGTGCGTTCCAACTCATACTAAAAGTAGATAAGATGTCTACGCATATTTGTAGTAGTTACTAGATGCAGTGTTGCCAAGTTTAAACAAAATAACCGATGTGGTTAACATTACCCCCATGGTCCATGATGCCCCATCCTCCCCTAATAGTCTTTAGCAGTTCTCTATCTTTGTTGACGCTCCTTAGTATGTCTTCATTAGTTTTCCTTGCTGTCCAAGTTATCTTCAGTTGTTCAGCATTCGTCTATGAACCCACATTTCCAATGCTTAAATTTATAATCAATGCTTACATAAATACAATTAAATTACAACAAATATTCAAATCGACGACCTTCGCAATAATACAATGTGAAAGATGACAATAAATTCTTTCCTAACGTTTTCGATAACTTCAGGTGTTATTTGTGTAATTTCTGTTCTGATGCGCTTCTTCAACTCTTCTACATTCTTCGGTCGATTTTGATACACCATGCTCTTTAAATATCCTCACAAAAAAAGTCTAACAGAATCAAATCTGGAGACCTTGGTCGCCATTCGATGGGCCCCCTTCTACCTATCCACCTACCTGGGAAAACGTTATTAAAGTAATTTTGTACCTCAAGAATGTACCTTTGAGAGTGGGGGAGCCCCATCATGTTAGTACCACAAATCACTTCTATTTAGAAATAGGTGATTCAGCTGTGGCAACAGATAATCCTGAAGAGATTCTAGATAACGAGAAGCAGGTAAGTGTTCCTCAAAAAAATATGGCCCTACAATTTGATTGTTTATAATGCCGGCCCAAACATTCACTTTCTCGGGATATTTGTCCTATACTCTTCCGTCCAGTGTGGATTTTTACTTGCCCAGTATTGCCCATATATGTCTGGAGATTTACGTTTCCGTTCAGCATAAAAGACGCTTCATTAAAAAAAAGTACCTTTTGTATGAAACTCTGATCTTTCGCAGAATTCGATTCTTCTATCAAAGTCATCTTCTAATAACTCCTGGACCAGATGTACTTTGTATGGATGCCACGTCTCTTTTTAGCACTCTTACAACAGTTGATTGGTGGACATTATTATCTAGTGCGACCTGCCTAGAGCTGGCATGGGGATTTTCTTGAAACGCCAGTACAACGTCCAGTTTCTTGGCTTTGAATATTAATTTTTTACACTTCTGGAAAGATCTTTAACATGGCTCATTTCTCTATTTTTTTTTTCAATTTTACTTTACTGTTAATTGAGTAATTGGTTCGAGATTTGGGTATTTAGCATTAAATAAATTACTAACTTCTGCTTGAGTCCTCACTCTATCTCCATAACCAATCATGATTAAAGTTTCAATTCGTTCTGTTTCTATGAAAGCAAAACCAGACATTTGACTTAAAAAAAAATGAGATATATGGATTCTATCTGTAAACATTAATAGGAATCCGTTTTTTTCGGACTCTTATGCTCATAAACAGACATTTTAATGGCATCATTCACAGTTAAAATTTAACCTTTGATACAAAAGCAGACATTTGTGTATACTTGTTACGAGAAATGGCAGACATTTGCCTTTAAAATAATCCGGATGCGATTTCTTAGTCATGTGCTGTCGTGTTTGCGCTCTTTGTTATTAAACTCGTTTTTCTTTTCATAATTTGTACTCATATTAAGACCAAACGTGGTAAACATACGTTAAGAATAAGTGCTCATGAAAATAAACAATAATTAAATATTGTAAACATAAACAACATTATTTTTGAACCAAGTCCAGCTGATAAAGGGCGAAAAACCATTGGCAAATAAGGTGGACACGAGAAATAGCAAAAAAAGAAAAGTATGTTCACATTGAAGTTTTTAATTACTATTTAACTGGGAATAAGCCACAATTAAAGGTAAAAATACGTTTATTGACGTTCTAAAGATCTTTTTCTCTCTTCTTTCATATTATTATTTATTTTTGCTCTAATTATACGATGGTCATTACCAGTTGTTATATAGTTTATAGCTGTGACTTCAAATATTCTTTAGTTGTTTGAAAGAAAATAGTCTATTTCATTTTTGGTAGTTCCGATAGATGCGATATATGTATGATCTGTTGGGTTTATTTTTGTTAAAGGTATTCATAGCATACATGTTTTCTTCTTCCAGGAATTACAAAAGTTGTTTTCCTTTTGCGTTTCTTGTGCCAAATTTCCAATCTTATTTTCGGAGTCTTTAAATTTTTCTTAAATTTTGGCGTTAAAATCTCCCATTATTATTATTTTAAATTCTTTGTTGTTGACTATTGGCGAAGTACTTGGATGTGATACGAGAAACGATCGTGCGCGAGTAGCGGAGAAATCTTGCATTTTTTAGTGCAAATTTCATAGATTTCATAAATTCATATTGTCAATTGTCATATTTCATATTCGTTTGTTTATTTACACCTTCCGTCACTAAAGAAAATGGAATTTAGGAAATGCTGTGTTATAAAATGTAAAAATACAACAAAAAATTGTCAGTTTAAGTTTTATTCGTTTCCAACTTCGAAGCACAAATTACTACAAGAGAAAAGTGTATTTACATCATAAAAAAGCATAAGTAACATAACCTAAATTATGCATTATTCTGGCGCCCGATTTTAAAGTCAGTTTGAAATAAATAATAAATAAAAGTTCACTTTTAAGTGTAAATTTTAGTTTCATAACACTCACTTTAAATTTTATGCTTAACCTGCTAATTTATGCATTAGCATTATTTATGGTAATTTATTTTTCCTAATTCTTCCACATAACACTTCCATTCTTTTTCGACATTTGCCACTACTAAAGCTTTTCCATTTGACTCAGTGCTTGGTTGAAAAGTTATTTGGTGATTTACTTTCTCAAATCCAGTTTTTATTATTGCATCCGTATTAACAGTAATGCTGTAATTTAATATTATATTTATTTGTATTTACACTACATACAACGTTTACCTTTTAATAACATACCGACATAACCTCAATCTTACTTTTTCTTCTTATTCTTTTTTGGGGCTTCGTCCTTGACAGTTATCCGGTAACCTCGATCTAACATGAAAGCGCAGTAAATTTTGTTAATTTACGACAATAGGTGTCGCTGTTCCGAACTTGCACGGTCCCAATAGCTTTTTTAAGGTCTTCCTAAAAAGTATTTATTTTATCGTCAGTTGCTTTTTCAGTTGGAGCATCAGCCTGCACAATCTTTATTCTGATTTGTGAATTTAGTTTTAAGATCATGTATGTAACCCTGTCCGAAATGTTATGAATTATTTAAATATGTGATTTTCTCTTCTTGTTGATTAAGAAACCTATTCCACCATATGTATAATCTTCTTTGCCTTCGTAACCTGTTGCCTAAATTTAAGTCTACATACCTTTCACCTCTTATTTTAACTATTATGTCCAGGTCCATATCCGAAAACTTGCACTGTATAAAATAATTTTTAATAAGAGCTAGCTGCATCAAAAAGCATTTTCGGACTAGGTGAATTGGGTTAAATTGTCCTAAAATTAGCTGAAAAATCACCGGTCTTTATTTCTCAGGAGATTTTCTTTTACACCCTGTATTTTCTCTTAAAAGCAGAAATTATTCCTTTGTCCATCGGTCGAATAAGTGAAGTTGTATTGACGAACAAGAAATTTTATTTGTTATTCATTTTTAATTATTTTTAAAAATATATTTATGTTTTAGACCTTCTAAACTAAAATCAAGAAGCCAGATGGACCTTACTCAAATTTCAGGAAGTAAAAAATCCAAATCGTCTGCTAGAAAAATAAACGGTGGACCTAGATATATGGATTGGTACAAGAAATCCGACGAAACCAAATTAAAAAACAAAGAAGTACAAGAAGGAAGAAAAAAAGAAGCTAAAAAAGAAGTCAAAGATTCCAAAAATTCCGGTACTAAACCCGCAGTTAGTTCAAGACTATTAATGGATACCGAATCCAGTAAAAATAAAAAAGTCGACAATAAGAAGAATTCTGTTGGTCCCGATCATCCCCTTCTTCAACATTCTGAATATAGATTTGAAGGCCCGCATCTCTCGGCTCCGAATCAAGCCAAAAGGCCTGATGAAGATAATGACTCTGGAATTGCTTTAACTAAACCACCAATAGCTCAGAAAAAAAGTGTGTTCACAATTGCTTATGACGATATGCATACTAACCAACTTAGAGCAGACAGTACTACTTCTCCATAGTTTATATTACAATTTTGATAGTATACGAACTTAACGTTTTTTAATGTTTATTTAGTAAGCCATTTAATATCTTCAATATGTATTCTCACATTAAAAACTTGAACTTAAAATTTTACACTTGAAGAACAGTTCTTAGAGAACCAAGACTGCAGTTTATTTTATCAAATATACCTATCATACATTTTCGTTTCAAACAATGAAATTTCTCTGGGAAATCAAACAGTTAAGATTCTTTGCACATTTGTCATCACTTCACTTCACTTCGTTTTTTTTTTTGGCTTGCATACAAGTGCATCCTCTATTTTGTCATCACTTCTGCTATTTTTAGTGATATTTTATACTTTTTCAATCCGGAGTTTTTTTACTTATAATTAATTTGATTTATTTTTTATACAGTCTTTTTTTATGTTTTTACCTCGTTCCTGAATTTCATAAACCCTCTTGGAAAAAATGGAAACCAAACTATATTCCGATTGAAATTCTCAATTTAAGTCTTTTGTAATATAATATATATATATATATATATATATATATATATATATATATATATATATAATATATATATATATATATAATAGACTTATACTTTGATGGTATTCAAAAAAAACCTATGTATTAAAAGACAGTAAATTAAAAGGAATCATTATTTCCGAGTATTTTTAATGTGCAATTTCACATTTAATACACGCAGTTTTATTTAGCAATTTGATATTATACTTTAGGTACGTGCTTCCAAATTAAGCTACCCAAAACTATTTATCTTTCTACATTAGTTATTGCCTACTACTTTTTGTTACAATACATTATGTTATACCTATTTTATTCAATTTTCTAAACTGTTTTATATTTTACATTATATTTTTACAGCCATTTGTATTACTGGTTGCTATACCAGTAGCAGTTTCAGTAGGTTTACAAGAGGCTCAAGAACGTTTTACTATGCCGATAGAACCATTCTCCTTAGACTATAACAGTATATTTTATTGTTTATGCTCTTTTTGCCATCTAACATCCTACGATTCAATTTTTTTGTTTTGGTTCAAACACTATCCATGTGTAAATAATTTTGATAAAATTTATTAGTGCGTGCTAATTTGCTTGTCATTAATTTTTGTTTTTAATCGACTTCTGTCATTTGATTAATTGTAACCTTAGATTGGTTTAGGTACTTAGTTTTCTTTTCATTTGGTTGCGTTCTTCTTCTTAGAGTCCCGTCTCCCTATGAAGGTTGGCAATCATAATGGCTATTTTTATTTTTGGAACTTGCTGCTCTAAACAAATCAATCAATATGCAACCACGTAGATTCTTTAACCATGAGTTCTGCCTTCGGCAAACACATCTTCCTTGAATCTTTCCCTGTATTATGAGTCTCAAAATTTCATATTTTGGTCCCCTTGGGCCCCATCACGTGGCCTAGGTATTCCAGTTTTCTGGTTTGTGTAGTGGTGATTAGTTCTGTTTCTTTACCAATCCTCTCCAGTAGTTCTTTATTTGTAATTTTATCAGTCCATGATATTTTTAATCCTCTGCGGTATAACCAGAGTTCATATAATAATATTAAAAATATATAACAGCAAATGTAAACCAGTTTTTGTTTGCTTTAATGCTATCTCAATGTTAATATTTGTTTTCCGACCATTGCCACAGCATTTGGTGATGAACGCTATTGTAGACTTTTTTATTTCTCTTAAGTCCATATATAGCAGGTCAACTTCTTGGTTAAACGCATTTTTATTTTCAACCACTTAAATTACACCGGAAAGGTGATCTGTTGTAAAATTTTCTGCTATATACCAGGACTGTTCTTCGGTTTCCATATTATCATACTCCCCTTTAATCCGATTTTCAAGGATCTTTTTATACAATCTACCAATGATGCTAGTAACCCAAATTGTACTGTACACTTTTACACATTTTCTATTCTTCAGGCTCTTCAAATATATTAATATATACTTCAAATAGCTTCTATGACTTACACGAAGTGTATAGTACCCAAAAATAGGCATTTTTTGTCTTGATGATGGTGGTCTTTACCTAATTGTGAATGAACTTCGTTCATTATTACTAGTAGCTATTTGGTTTCGCTATTTCATTAAATTTGTATGTTGAAGATTTCTGCTTAGTGTTTGGTGACTCTTCTCTTTTTGACTGTCACTGCTTGGAACCTTGCAAGGTTGATGGCTATTTTCCATTAAATACACCATTCTTCTAGATACACCATTTCTTTTCCAAATATCGTAGAGTGTATTTTGTAGATATTTGGCTATTACATCTAGCTTGCAGCTTCTTACCACATCAGTGTGATTTGTATATATATATATATATATATATATATATATATATATATATATATATATATATATATATTTAGGTGTATATACTCAGTTGTTGGGAAGTCTGCGGTGTATACCCTTGAACTCAGCACCGAATCGTCATTAGATCACTTCAATTTTGGTTTTTATTTTTTAATTTTTTGCTTCTTTTAAAACAAAAAAGCTATCATCTTCTTCAAGTGCCATCTCCACGGCGGAGGTCGGCAATCATCATAGCTATTCGGACTTTTGAGACGGCTGCTCTGAAAAGTTAATTTGATGTACATCTGTACCACTCTCTCAAGTTGCGCAGCCATCACATTCTACGCCTCCCTATGCTTCTCTTTCCTTGTATCCCTCCATAATCATAATCCATAATCAATTGGAGTAGGGTGTATTTCTCTCCACGTGTAATATGTTCGAGATATTTTAATTTTCTTGTTTTTACTGTATTTAAAATTTCTACTTCTTTATCATTTTTCCCAGAACTTCTTTGTTTGTGACGTGTTCTGTCCACAATATTTTCAATATTCTCCTGTGCGCCCACAGCTCGAATGATTCCAATTTTGTCATTTATGTCGCATTTACGGTCCAAGATTCCATTCCATAAAATAAAGTCGAAAAAACACCTCGCCAACCAAATTCTTAGTTCCAGTTTTAAATCCCTGGTACATAGCACTCTTCTCATTTTGTTGAAATATTTTAGCCTTTTCTATTTTTATTTTGATCTCCTGAATGTAATCATTTGTGGAGTTAATCATTGTTCCCAGATATGCATATTTGTCCACTTGTTCGACGTTGATTCTGTTTATTAGAGGATTTTTTTGAGTTTTCGATATTTTCATAAATTTCGTCTTCTTGGCATTCATTGTTAGACCATACTCTTTTCTATACTCTGCTATTATGGTCACCAGTCTCTGAAGATCTTCAATGTTTTCGGCTAAGATGACAGTGTCGTCCGCATATCTAATGTTGTTAATGGGAACTCCCTAACACCTTTATTCCAGTTGTTTCACCCTGAAGAGCGTTTTTCAGGATCTCTTATCTCACTTAAAAAAGCTATAACAATTAGTATATATTGAAAAAAAACCATCTCGCTACATATTAACATAATAATATACATGTAATTACCAGTGATTAACTAAATATTCATCTTAGAACTTTTAGATTTTATTATCTGTTTACCCTCACTTTCATTTTTGAGGCAAGGAGGTTATGGTCTAATGGGACACTTGCTCTAGGGCAAATTTGAACGCTTTTTCTTTTTAACGTTCATAATTGTTAGATTCTCTTCTTTACATAATTGAGTTAATCTGTCGCCTCTAGCATTTCTTGTTCAAAATAATCATCTACTGTATTGTCCACTCGGCCTTTTCCTATCTTTGCATTTAAACCTCCCATTATTATTGTAATTTCGTCCTTCCTGGTGTATTGTAAAAGTTGTTTAAGTTGTTCATAACAATGTTCTATTTCAGCTTCTGATTTATCTGCAGTTTGTGCATACACTTGTACTATACTAATATTCACTGAATTACCCTATATTTGTAATAAACGTTCTATCCGAAAAGCGAACAAAACAACTTACAATTACAAGTTTGGATTCTTCTGGAGATAATTATCCCAACTCCGTATAAATGAGACTTATTCCTTGACTTTTCTCAAATAGGATTATATTTTAGCTATTGCGTAGCATTCTTTTTGTTTCTGATTTAATACTTGTTTAGTTTAGTCTTAAGTTTGTTAAGCAGAAAATGGTTGACTTCAATCAGTGCGATCATAAATATTATTAAATGTATTTGGATTGGCCCATTGTTAAGACCTTTTACCTCAAGTAAATCATTGTTACCTGAAACCGGACCTTTTATACTATTATCGGTTAACACAGGATGTTCATATTCGGAACTAATTGACGTTAACCATTTACTGCTAAACAAACTTTTCCTTTAAGAATATCCACAGTAAGAAGTGAAATAAGTGAATTTCTGCAGGCAGCTAATTCTGCATTTCATTAAATTTTTGAAATACCTTCAAATTAATAACCAAACTGTTTCTTATAATGCGGGATTAAATGCATACTTCCACGTGTATCATCTTCGAAGGGGTGAACTGAAGGAAATATAACAGGTTATTAAATAATAGTTGACCACTTCAAGTTTTTGGATAATAATAGACAATTTTTGACACAAATATAAACAAGGAATAAGAATTTTTAACATCATATTAGACATTGTAAATGGCTTGCTAAATAAGCTTGATGTTTGTAAAAAGTATTGACTTTGAAACAAGAAGAAGCCACTGTTTTGTTTGCTCTACATGGTTATCAAAGTGTATTTTTATACTAAATCTATGTCATGTTCTGTAAATAATTAGTTCACTGAACTTTGATAAAATTATATAATGTCTTTTCTATATTAATTTGCAAAAGTGATTGTATTGGTTTAGTAGAATAAATAATTTTTTATCTTGTTTTTATTTTAAAATGTTTTAACACACATTGAGAAATATTATAAAAAAATGTCTTGAACCTGACATTGACTTTTACCAACTTTTTATGGACTCCACCAACTTTGACAACTTATAAATGTAAGTTAAATCATGGAATTGAGAAGCTTAATTTTTTTTTTAAACTTAATTATATTGATTTTAATAACTGTGCAAATTTCCAAAAGATCCCCGTGGAAGACAAT